TAATGCAAAATCACGTGTAATAAGTATATATAGCTTGTAGCCTAGGGTCCTGTAGAATATGCATGCAAAATTTTTGTGTTTTCTGATTTTTGCTGTCATTTATTTAAAGGAAATTCAATTATTTTTTTGAAAAAAAATTTAATCAAACTTTTGCACACATAATTTGCAGTATACTTATTATGTTAATTCAAAATAATGATTCTAGAAATTTTTTCAATTGCTTTTTTAGAAATTCTATCTTAATATTTATATGATCAATAAATCTCATCAAAAATAATAATTTCAACAATTCAATTTTTTTTTTTAGAAATAAACAATAATTTTCTAAAAATAATCATTTATTATTTATTAAAACCTGTTTTAGTACGATTGCCTCATCTTACTTCAGTTTTTTTTAATAAATTCTTTGAGCAATTCCCTGTAACTTTACCTAAGATTAAAAGGCATGGTAAAACATAACTTTATACAAATACAAAGAGAAAATGAAAGACATATTTTGTCATACTTATTTTTAGATCGCTAACATTTTCGTTTTAAAAATAGGAACATGTTGAAATCAATTGGATTCAGGAGCTTCTAGATGAGATTCCAAATAAATAAAAATATTGTTGATCAGGAAGAACAACTTTTGTGAGTGAACAGAAAGATATTTAACTTTATTGCTAGGCCATCAATCAGTTCCAAGTGATCCTACACAATCAAAATTATATCTTTTATTAAAAATATTAAGTATTGATCCTGATTGCAAAGGAAAGGTTTTGGACGATTTTTATTTCTCTGTCAGGTATTTTTTTATAATTTAATATAGAACCTAAAAGATGAAATATTATCCTCTCATTTAAATTATTTGATAAATTTAGTGATATATTTTATATAAATTATAAAGGAGGCATTTCTATACCATGGCTACTAGGATTAACTTGTACTGATAATGTTCAATGGCTTAGATATTTTATTTCAACCACTGATCCTGATCTACTTCCAAAATCTTTTAAAGCTAATCAAAAATGAATTGAGATATTAAATCTTGGGACACAGACAGCTCATATAATCAATAAAGAACTTCAAAGGAATAATAGCAATTCCATGAATATTATAATGGAAGAAATTGAAGTCAGCTGAGAAGGATGAAACTCAGATAAAAAAACAATTCAGAGTCTTGGAATGAGACTACACCATACAGAAAAAAGATAAAAAGTTAAGCAAAGATGAGCAAAAAGCAAAGTGGATGAGCAACCCAAAAAAAAATTTTATTCTTTATAAAACTTTGCCAGAAGGGGAAAATTTTCATTCTATGATATGAATAATGTAGAACATACACTACCTGGAAGAAAGTATCCGGACGCACCTTTTTGATAATTCCGCAAAATTTTGCATAGCATAAAAAAATTTTTTTACATCAATTTGTAGCCTAGGTTCTTACGATCATGTGTATAAATTTTAATGTTTCTAGCATCTACATAAAATTTTCAATTAAAAAAAACGAAATGTAATTAAAATCGTGATTTTCTTCTCAATTTTTTTACAATTATTAGAATTTTCTCAAAATATTGTGTACTAAAAATACACAAATTTTATATAAACTTGAAGCTTAGGTTCTTGAGAATATTCTTGTAATTTTTTACCATGTGTAAATAATTATTTAATAAAATATAATAAATTTGAAAAAATTAAAAAAAAAATTTTTCAAAGATCTAGATTGATAAAAAATTTTAAAATGCCAAAAAATGAAGAGCTGGCCGATTTACAACGAGCCAACATTTTGGGCCTCCATATGAATAATAATAACCTTACTAAAATATCAAAGTTACTTAAAATTCCAAGAAGTACAGTACATGATACCATTGCCCGTTACAGAAATGCTGAAAGTTTGAAAAGTGGTCGGCCCAAAGCAATAAATGAAGATGACCAAAAATTTTTAAAAGAACTTGTACAAACATATGGGGCATGGACAATAGAAAGGGACCAAACGTCAAAAATCATGATTTTGAGTTAATGACATTCTTAGATGTAATTCGCTACGAGGATTAATTTTAGCTTAGAAACAATACCCACATTACTTAATAAAATTTTGAGATATTTTCTGTTAAAGTTTTTAAAAACAATTGTAAATTACTTGAAATGTAGATCTTTTTTTCCGATTTTCTCAAAATCATGATTTTTGACGTTTGGTCCCTTTCTATTATCCATGCCCCATATTTCTACGCTTAATTTGAAAACTTGAATCCATTTTTTGCAATAGCCAACATTAAAAAGGGAAAAAATTTTGAATTTACTGCTACGTAATAGTAATATTCTTAGATTACATGAGATGTGAATTTAAAGAGCGAATTTTTTTATATAAGAAGAGTTATGATTTTATAAAATCATCAAATAGAATTTTAATATAACTGACATTGGTTCCTGAATTTATTGATTATGAATTTATCAAATATGAATTTAACGAACTTTGACTGTAATTGAGGGTCCTTGTTTTGACCAAACCTTAACTAACCATAAAACTTCCCTTTCATTTATTCCGAAGAATTTGATTTCTTACCATTAATTTTCGCATGATTTTTAATTCTCTTAATTCTCTTGATGCATTTTCTGATGTCGAATAGCATTAATCGGAGTTTAGAATATATATATAAACTTTTGTCAGTTAAGATTTTCAAAATATTTTAATAATTCAGAATATGTTATTAATTTATGTTTTATGATATGTACAGTATGTATGATAGATATAAATACTGTGGGACCTGAGATTTTTGCCAGACCGAACACTTTGTAGTTGTTTGTTTATGAAACTGATGGTTATAGTTTTAGGTTCCTATATAACTTCAATTCTAATTTACTATTTCTCTACAAGTACTAGTATCATTTCTGGGAATGGCACATTAGGGATTTTTTATCCAGGGACCAAAAAGCGGCATAAGAAATTTATTATTGCAAATGAATTTTACCTTCCTATCATTAAAGCCAAACTTCTTTTCGATAATGAACCAGAGGGGAATTAGTACACGCATTAATGATCCCATGATAAGGATTCTGAAAGCTAAAACTTACAAAGTTTTTTTACTCGGAATGAACACTAATAATGTTTACGTGGTGACAAATAATAAGAATTCTTCCAATGAAGATTATATCAACTTCAATAAATACTGTATATTTTGACTGGGGTCTATATTCAGTGGCTATTATATAAATGCATAATATTACTATGCACAATTGGTGCTCGCTAACCATACTCTTGATTGTGCCCCATAAGTTCTATGGATTATAATTATCCAAAGATGACTTCACCTAATTCAAGGATTTATGTCTCGTATATTTCAACTGATATCAGTATTCTAATTATTTATTAAATATAAAATAAGGAATAAAAGATAAAGCAAGAACATAATTAAATATATTAAATATAATATCAAAAATCTATGCTAAATTCTTTATTTAAAAAAAAATTGTTTATGAAAAATATTTTAATAATTTGTTTGGATATTTAAATATACTTTTAAAAAAAAAAATTATAGATAAGAATCAAGATAATTGTGAATTAATAATTGGTTCGCCAAAAAACATTCAACTTATTATATTCTTATCTTCAGTAGAAGTATTTGATAATTCACCACCTGGGCAAAGCTCTTCAAATTTTTTATCAAGCACCTCCTAGATAAGCAAACAAACAAAAAAAACCAATTCATTATAAATTATTGCCTTGACATATATTATTATTGTTACTATTATTATTCATTATTATATTTTAATTCACCTGCATCTTATTAGCATCATTGTAAATTTGTGATCCTTCTTCATTAAAAGTTTTAGCATTATTAAACATTAGATACCAATCTTCTTTACATTGTTTTATTGTTTTATAATAAACTCCTTTTATTCTTTTTTTTATGGTATCCATAGCTATAGGATTTTTTATGATTTGGAAGTATAATGGATAATCTTTTATTTTTGGAAGTGTGAGAAAGAGATATGCTCGCTGACGTGGTTCACTATATATCAATAATCATTCAGTAAAAAAATGTGCGAATTAATAATTAATTAATTTTCTTCGAAGAAAGTAGATTTATTTACCCATCTGATTCGTCCATCAAATTTTCCACCACTGAATAACATTCCATAAAAATATTTCTCATCTTTTCTCGAATCTGTGGTGGAACGTCGTCAACTTCAACAACATCAACACTATTACTTTTAGATATTTTTCTCTTTTTCTAAGACAAACAACAACAATTTAACATAATTAGTCATCGCATAAAATTAAGTAAATATAATAAATAATTCAAAAATTCTAACTTTAGATTGATCTTGATATGATTCATTGATTGTTTTCTCATCATAACTATCAAATTCTCTTTTTGTCTTGCCTTTCTTTTTGGATGGTTTTGGTGTTAATCCAGAATTATTATTGTTACCGTCTAAAATTTTCTGTGCATCTTTACGTGGTCTTCCCCGTTTTTTCTTACCATTCGTGCTATTAATATTCACATCATTTGAATACACATTAGGTTGTTGAGACGACTCTTGTTGCGATGATCCTTGTTGTGATGATCCTTGTTGTGATGATCCTTGTTGTGATGATCCTTGTTGTGATGATCCTTGTTGAACCGTTGCTTTCTTGTATTTTTTTTCTAATCGTCGTCTTTTGGCCGCTTGTTTCTTAACAATCAGTTCTTCAAGTTCAATATCCTCATCTTCAAGTGCCTAAAAATATCAAAATTTAATTAGATAAGTAATCAATCAAAATCAAACTAATCACTATGCACAAACTTTCTCACATACATTCACCCACTGTTCTTCTGTTAATCCATCATCATAATGAATATTTCCTCTGACTCTTTGACCACGACCATATTCGACATTTGAATCATCATAATTTATAACCGTTTCATAATCTTTTGTGTATATAGACGGCAATTCACTTTCCTCTATCAATCTTCCAGGCCTCCTGCCCTTACCACCTTTCATACGCCATTCAGCTTCTTCTTTTTGATCCCTTTCAATATCCATATTTTTAAACCTTTCAAGCTCTTCATTATTTCTTGATATTATTTCATTAAGTTCATCATCATCTAAATCTTCTTCCTCTTCAACATCATTAACTTCATCGACATCATTTCCCAATAATGAACGCTATCATGATAATAATAATAATTACTGTTATTATTTCTTCGAATTATTTTTCAAAGAAAATTTGCACATACCAGGTAGGCCTCACGTTCTTCTGCTGTACTTTTATTGTCAAATTTACCAGCCTGAATCACTTTACCATCGATATCAAGCTTATATTGAGCTCTTGCAAGAATAGTTTCTTCAATAGATTTTTGTGATATAAGTCTTAACACTTGTACTTCCCTTGTTTGTCCAATACGATGTGCACGATCTTGAGCCTGTAAATCTTGATGTGGATTCCTTTATGTATATATTTTTGAATGAATATTTGTGAATATAAAAGCAAAAACATAATAATAACAATAATAATAATTTTACCAATCAGAATCAAATATTATAACAGTATCGGCTGATTGTAAATTAAGACCAAGACCACCAGCTCTTGTACTCAATAAAAATATAAAATAAGGTGAATCTGGTGCATTAAATTGCTTTAATAATTCGGATCGATCTTCAGCCTACCACAATAAATGTGTTAGTAAAAAATAAAATAATATTAAATTGTATTGACTTTTTTTTCCTACCTTTGTTGTACCATCCAAACGTAAATGTCTATAACCACGCCAATTTAAAAAATCTTGCATGATTGTCATAATAGCAGTCATTTGAAAAAACATTAAAACCTTATAATAAAAATAATAATTAATTGAATAATTTTAATAATATATTATATAATATATTTTATATTTATACATACTCTATGATTAGTACAAGAAAATTTTGGAAGAATTCTATCTAGTAGCTCAAACTTGCCAGAAACACGATATAAAAGTTCGTTGCTAAAATTTGATTTGAAATCTCCTTCGACTTCTTCAAAAACAAATGGATGGTTACAAATCTTACGTAACTGCATTATAGTATTGTTTAATCCCTTGATACCAGTTTTTCTGTATAAAATGATGATGATGATGATGATGAATGAATGAAAAAATAAATAATTATTCATATATTCATTTATCCATCCTACTCGTCGTTGATTAACATACCCTTTTTCACCATTATTAACAAACAAAACACCAAGTTTTTTCATTTGATTGTACAGCTTAAGTTGTAAACTCGATAATTTACACTTGATTACCCTTTCAACTTTATCAGGTAATTCCGATTCTACATCCTTTTTTAGTCTACGTAAAAGGAATGGTCTTAAAACCTAACATCATATACATGAATGCATTATTATAATTGTAAAATAATTCCTTTTTATTAGTAATACATAAAAAATGTAAAAAATATACTTTATGTAAACGTCTAATTATAAGTAACGATTCTTCTTCATTCAAGGCTATTTTATCCTGTCCACCAGTATTTGCAAATGGTGTATTGAACCATTCATCAAAGCTTTTAACAGAATTAAAAATTTTAGGTAATAAGAAATTCAATAATGACCATAGTTCAGGCAAATTATTCTATATAAATTATTTTTTTAAAAAAAATAATCAACAACTGATCAAATTTTAATGTTATTAGCATCAAAAGTAATCAAACATATATACTTGTAATGGTGTTCCGGTAAGAATCAATCGATAACGGCATTGATAAGTATTAGCTAATATCATTGATATTTTTGAATTGGCATTTTTCATACGATGTCCTTCATCTATTATCACATAAACCCATCTGATTTTACTTAAAACAGATTTATCCTTAATTATATATTCATAAGTTGTAAGCAAAACTTGAAAGTTAATGTGTTTAATATATCGGCGTTGCAGTTCTTTGCGTACTGACGGAGTTCCTTTATAAACACATTTCATAACTGATGGCGCCCATTTTTCAAATTCCATTGTCCAATTTGTTAATGTGCTTTTTAAAAAATAAAATTATTGTTAATATTACAAATATATATATATATATATATCATTTTTTATTTTTACTTACGATAATGGAACTACGATTAAGAATGGGCCATTCTGCCTTTTCATTTCAATAAGATATGTAATTAAAGATATCGTTTGAATAGTTTTTCCAAGACCCATTTCATCTGCAAGTAGACCATTTAACCTATTATTGTACAAAGAAACCATCCATTGTAGTCCTTTGATCTTTTTTTAATTCATTTTATTTAAAAAAAAATATATATTATTTTAAATAAAATCAGAGGAATAAATTCAATATTGACAATATACTTACCTGATACTCTTTGAGTGTACCTGCTATCCTAAGAGAGGGTTGTATAACTTCGTCCCTTATTTGATGTGCAACTTGATAATAATCTATTTTTTTTCCATCCTATATTTATAATTATTAACGTTTATTTAAATAATAATTTTTAGCATTCAAAATTTTTTCAAATAAAATAAATTATATAAAATGAACAAATATGCATACAACAATAGTCAAAGTATCATCATCATCACCGCCACCACCACCACCATCATCATCATCACCACCACCATCATCCATCAATTCAATACCACCTCTTACAGATGGATCGTTGTGTGAATCATCATTTTGTTGTGCGACAACAGCCTGAGCTAAAGAATCAAGGTAAGAATCAGTTTGTTTTAACAAATGGGTGATTCTGGTGTCTTTAGCCTCGTCAATAAGTTTCAAGTAAGCCTCTTCATCATCATTTTTCAATGCACTAAGACGTTCTTTTGAGACACGTTCAGCTCTTTTTTGTTCTTCTTTCTCAACTTGTAGATGATAATTTAGCACAGAACGA